AAGCCAGCTTTGCCACCCATCGCTGTTCACAGGCATCCAAATGTGGCTTGGTGAGGATGTGCGTGAGTGGGTTGTTATCCGTCCACACTGTGAACATATGTCCTTTCAGCCAATGGCTGAATTTGTCACACACCGACCATTTGAGTGCCAAAAACTCAAGGCGATGGGCTGGATACTTTCTTTGAGCACGTGTGAGAGACTTGCTTGCAAATGCCACTGGCCGGGCCACACTCTCACCTTCCTGAACCTGTGATAGGACTGCACCCAAACCATCCAATGAGGCATCTGTAAACAGAACAAATGGGCGAGTGAAGTCTGGGTGGGCCAGAATTACTGAGTTGACCAAAGCTGCTTTAAGCTCCATGAATGCAGAATGGTGTTCATCTGTCCAGTCAGCTTTAGTCAATTTGCGAAGCACAAGCTTACGCTTGGTGGGTATCTTCAACTTGCGTTTCTGTTTTGCACCAGCAAGCAGATTAAAGAGTGGCCTGGCTACAGAGGAATAGTTGGGGATGAAATGCTGGTAGTAGTTAATCATGCCTAGAAACGAGCGAACACGAGATGGGGAAGGGGTGACGCCATCTGGTTCCATGAGATCTGCAGTTGACATGTTACTGATGGACTCAACTTTAGCGGGATCTGTGGATACACCAGACTCATTGATTATGTGTCCAAGAAACTTCACAGATCTTCTCATTAGCCAACATTTCTTTGGAGCAAGCTTCAGGTTGTGGAACCGCAGGCGGCCGAACACCATCTCCAACCTCTTGAAAGTCACCTCTTCAGAGGGGCCAAACACCAGCAAATCATCAAGGTAGCACAATAGACTGAGAAAGTTCTGGTCACCAAATATGGACATCATCATCCTCATGAAACTAGCTGGGCTGTTGCACAGTCCCTGGGGGAGCCTGTTGTATTCGTACAATCCCATGGGTGTTGTAAAGGCAGAGTATTTTCGGTCATCTTTGTGTAGTGGCATGTTGTAAAAACCAGATGTGAGGTCCATTGAGCAGAAGAATGTGTTCCCTCCCAAAGCAGCTAAGCAGTCTGCTTGATGTGGTAAGGGATGGGCATCCTTCAGTGTTCGCCTGTTGAGCCATCTGAAATCTGTGCAGATCCGCAAGTCACCATTCTTCTTCCAAACTAGAACGAGGGGTGAGGCAAACTCACTGGTGGATTTGCAGATTATTTCCTTCTCCTCCATTTCATTTAGGACTTGACGAAGCTTCTGGTATTCAGCAGGCGGCACACGGCGATAGGGCAACCGAAAGGGTCTCTCATCAGTGAGTCGAATCCTGTGCACAAACCCTTTTGCCTCTCCGCAGTCTAAGTGGTGGCGGGAGAACACATCCTCATAGCTGATCACAAGGTCAGCCAGCTTTCTCCGCCAACCATCTGACACGTCACAAGACTGCAGGTCCAGATCACCCAGACCAACACTTTTCAGTCTCTCCTGCACACAGTCATTGTTTTCCGCTGTAGGATCAACAGTGCTTTTTACAGTGGTAGCTTGATATGAGCATGTTACATCTTGCATAACCAAGTCCTCCATAGCAAGACAGGTGTAGACATCGGCCAGTTTAGCATTTCTACGAATGGTTACAGGACAACTGGAAGCATTTAGGATCTTGAGAGGGACAAATCTGTCTCCCCAGAGTTGTGTCAACGCTCTTGCCACCAATATGCCTCTGGGAGCAGAGTGGGAAGTTGTGGGTTCAGACATCACAGTCAAGCCAGGTGATAACCTTGTATCCTTGGGAAGTTTGCCCCATAAAAGATATTCAGTTCCAGCCTCCAAAGTGACAGCTGTGTTACATCTCACAGTTCCGATTTTGTCTGGGACATCCTCACCAGAACGACGATCCAGGCCAGCAAGCAGAGAGAGGAACTCCTCAAGCTCAGGGTGATCTAGGTTTGGTGTGGAAATAGCTTCCCAATAGGAGGAGTCATTCTTTAGCTGGTGTAACAGATGCCTGATGACATTGGAGCCCACGAGCAGATCAGCCTGTTGGTTATTTACAACAAAGGTGGGGACCAATAGCTTACATCCATAGATCTCCATCTCCAGATCTATTATTGAAGTTGGTTTCACTCTGGCACCACCACATCCCACAAACACAACATCAGTACCCTCCTGATGAGAGATAACAACACCCGCATTAATTAGCGACTGCAGGGCTACTTCACTCAGTGAGCATGCCATCGAACCACTGTCCAGCATGGCATCAAGAGTCACTTTGCCATCGACTTTAACATGCATATAAAACAAGCTGTCACTCTTTTTGACCCTTTGTGTGTCCTGAACAATAACATTTTCTGATTCATTCAGTTTCTGTATATTTTGGTACAATTCAGCAGCATCAAATGTGTGGGAGATTTTACCTTGACCCATGTGACCTCCCTCCAGACATAGGTCACCTAGTTTCCCTGCATATTTTCTGTAGGGGAAGTATTGGTTGGGCAGGACCATCTCGTGTGGTCTGGGCTGAAACATGTGAAACAGAGTCGGTCTGAACGGCAGTGGGTTTCTGTTGTATGCTTGTCATCATTGCACACCCGACAGTTCATAACAGATCTGGCCCGGCCCTTTGTGCGCCCACGACGAGCATATGAGGGCTGACCACTAGGCTGAACTTTGGTGAGAAGCTCCCTGAGCATCGACACTATGTCACCAAGCATGGCACCCTCTTGTGGCTGACTGAGTGGGGCAGAAGCTGGAGACTGGAACTGGCATTGCACTTCTGTGCATTTACTCTGCTGCTTCATAGGCTGTAGGGAAGGAAAACATGTCTGTGCAGCTGGAGTAACTGAATCACCTTGGAACTGCTGGTTCTGCACCATCGCAGGTGCATAGGATAAAGGAGTTTCAGTGGTTGGCTGCACAACATGATGGAGCAGAACACCATCAGGCATATGTACATTACTGGAGACTCTGGGCTCAACGTGTGTCTCAAAACATAGTAATTGGGCTGCAGATGGTTTGTGCATTGGTGTTTTAATACTGGACAATCGCTCTCTTTGGTGTTCATCTAGCCTCTCCTGAATGTCTTTGGGGGTCCACTCATGAATCTGTTTGTACTTAAACACTGAAACTAGTTCTGTATCAGGGCAGTGCTTTACAAACATTTTAGCAATTTCGCTACCAATATCCTCAATGCGCTTCCCTTGACGCTTCAGACCTTCCTCAGCCATGTCTGCAGCCTTATTAAGGCGAATCCAGTAATCAACAGCATCCTCTTTCTGGAGTGGCAGTGTGGAGTAGAAATCTTGTAGAGGCAGACAGGAGGATGTGTTACTGAAGTACTGTATCAGCATGTTATAAATTACATCTGGGGAGGATGTAGCATTTAAGGCAGGATTACTTCTAAGGCCAATCTTAACTACATCTCTGGCTCTACCCATCAACTTCCCCATAATTTCCTCTTTTTGCATAGAAACATCATAGTTCTGCCGTCTAAGGTAACCTCTCATCATTTCAACCCACTCAGTAACAGTGTACTTGTCAGAATTGTCACCTTTGAAAACTGCAGGTGAGGTTTCTGATTTTACAATGACATTAAACCTTTGACCATCTGAGACAGAAGCGTCCTCAACATTGGCACTGTCCTGTTTCTGACAGGTACCACAGGCTTCTTTTCCCCCAGCAACGCCAGAAGATAACAGTTTATTTGCAATTGATTCCCCAATCTGTGAACCTAACTGATAAATCATGTCACTTATTTGGTGTAAGTCATTACCAACAACAGGTGTTGAGTGACTCTGGCCCCCAAATAACATCTGACCAGTAGGTGTCTCATCTGGATCCCGAGCTAATCCCTGGGGTTTACTACTACTCGCAGGTAGTATAGGTGATGCACCCAAATCAAACCCAACAGCACAACCGGGCTGAAAAGTAAGTCCCATTACACCTCTACCTCTCCCAAAAGAGGGGTGACTGTTCACAGTTTTACCACTTGGTTCAAATCTCTTTGCCATGTTAAGATAAAGCAGAAATAAAACACACTCAATTAAAATCCAGTGGTAATTAGAAATAGAACTACTGTTTCCCTTAGTTCATAAACCTTGTGACCCAATTGTGGAGGTCTTGAAGTGAAGAGGTAACTTGCAGGTAGACGACACAGTAACCTCCGGTGAACCGCATCAAGCTGCTCAGCAATCCGGGAGTCACGGCACCAGTGTGACCGCTTCCTCTTGTTGTCCGTCCAGGGTTATTGGAGTTGCCTCAAATCACCGCACACATACAATCAGGCCACAGACACAGGACTGTCCTTCAGAGCTTTTTACTGGCAGGATCTGATGTAAAAACAAGCACACAATAATACATCAGTGTGTGTGCGCTGCAACTGCATATAACGGTCTCCACCAGCTTTCATTACTGCTTTGGTGGGAGGGGCTGTGAATGCGCCTGAAGGACCCGTTGCATGCAGTTGCGCCTAACCACCAGTAGGCGGCTCCAAAAACACAAACAATCACTGCACATTACTTTTGGTGAAATTCACATTTTCATCTCTGTTACATGTGCTCAAAATGTTATGTTACTGATCTATCCTAAAAATATATATCAAACCATTCGCACAAAGTAGATTTGTATTTCATTATCTGAAAGTATCCACTTAGTTAAAAAAATAAAACATTTTCTATTTTCCTTACCTCGTACAATTTTATTTATCTATCTAATTTTTATGATAATTTAAAATATTCTTTTGATGTTTATATTTAAAAAAAGTTGTTGTTGTGATTCGCCTTGTGATTCTTATCCTGAAAGGTGCTAAATAAAAGATTTTGACTAAATCGTAATGCTGTAGCTCTTCTGTACTTTCATTGTGCAAAAGTAGCTGGAGATCCCTGGGCTTGGGTGGTAAAAAGAATTCTCAGGGAGGAAATAAATTTTGTTTTCGGTTTATCCACGGCGAATTAATAACGGACACTAGGGGGTGCTAAAAGCAAGCAAAACTGTGAAGGATGACAGTCCCATCATGTTCTGAAGCGTGCAGCTGCCGGCTCTCTGCCAGCAGATGGCGCTAACCCGCCCCATTACGCTAAATAAAGCCTTTTCCTGCCTGAACAGATCTGTTCAGGAAGAAGAAATGATGGCGACTCTTGTAGGGTCCGACTTTACTTGTACTGGAAGTAAACGAAGAAACCGCAACACAAATATAGTCACGAGGTTCATGTCCAGTAAAGTCATCGGAACGGGTTTCAGTCGAGGAACACAGGTGAGAGAAACGCTCGCTATTTTCACAGGTAAAGTTGAACGGCTGAGAACTGGTCTAGCGCTCGGAGTTTAGCCTAAAAACGAAGACGCTGTCCCGCAGATGTGACGGGAGATACGCCCGCTTCAGGGAGATTGGTCTTCACTGATTTGTCAGAGCATTCCGGAGTGATTCTGGACCATGTATTTAGTTACAACGGGTCACACGAGAACAGCGTTGTCTCGCTGACAAGCTAACGTTATCATCATGACAGAAACATCCGCTTTCAAGTGAGTCTTTTGTTGTTAGCTCCTCGTTAGCTTGGCCGGAATGCGATGGTTCAATAGCGACGTAATTTGTTATAAAACGAAGCTATCCGGGTTAACATGTTTGCTGTTGGACAGTAGGGTGTATGTGTACCCACAGAGCTCGTGGTTTAACTTCAGAGGAGCCTTGAGCTCGTCCTAATCGCAGCAAGAGTTGCTAATGTTAGCATACGGAGCTAAAGCAGCAGCTGAGCTACTAGTGATGACGTAAAGACCACATAAACTACCGTTTCCATAAATGCGTGCGTCACAGCAGCTGCCCGGGCAAGTTTACATGTTCATTTTTGTTACCTCTTAAGCGAGTTTTAACTAATTATTTCTACTTTCTGCATATTTTGGCTTTACGTAAAACGACAAGCACGTCCTCTGTTTTATGAACGGCCTCACGCGCACAAACGTGGCACCTCAGCGTGACTCTTCTCCTAAAGCCCAATTCCAGGCACCACAACTGGATTTTATCTAACCTTCTGAGCCAGTTTTATAGTTTAGTTCTTGCTTTAGAGTTAGTATTTTAAAGTCCCCTCTAGGGTCAAAGGTCATTGTTGTTTTATCAGAACTGTGCGCTGCAGTGGTCGGCTGTGTGAGCTGAGCTGTTGCTCTCCAGGTATGTTTATAAAAAGGTTTAGAATGTCCTACTTTATGTAATTAAAGAAGAAACATATGAATCTGATCTTTATTCAACCATGATTGGTTTGCAGTAATTGGTTTAGCATGAAACCAGATGTTTTCAGTGTGTGTAGTGTGATTTAAAGTGGTCTTTTCCGTGTCCTGCAGCTCCCCGGAGGCCTGTTGCAGGAGAGAGATAAACATGCCAAGTGGCATGGCATCCCCGTCTTGCTTCAGAAGCTCTACGAGAGCAGCCATCCCAACAGTGACCTCTCCCACGCTCACAGCTTTCTCAAGGTGCTTTACTCATGCCTGTTACAGAGGGTTTGTCTCACTGTATGTCACGTACATGCAGGTAGCAGGGAGAGGGCTTTGGGGGGTTTAGCGACTAAATCTTTACATCCACTCTGTGCTCCATAGCGCCGCTGAAGTGTGAGGCTGCTTGGTTCAATTACTCCATCCTTAACATCTTGACAGGATTAGTTACTTCAAACTGAGATGAAATTCCTTGGATCTGGCAAATGTACATGTTCATCTATAAACAATCATTTGAAAGTCAGACACATTCAACCATCTCCTCTTCACTTGTAAAAAAGATAATAAACCCAGTAATGCTACTAGATTAGCCATAATTTCAGTCTGTGAAAGTGTAATTAGCTCATTTTCAACACATTTAAAAAAATACTGTGGTGATAGATGCCGGGCTGCAACAAACAATTATTTGGATCATCAATCAATGAATCTGACGTGGTCTCGCCTCAATTAATTGATCAGATTAAACGGGAAAATTTAAAAAATTGCTAGGGAAACATTTTTTCTCTCCCTTTACTTTAACAAAAGAACATGTTTGTGCTCTGTTTGTTAACATAGTTGTTAAATGTTTGAATAAAGTTAATTAAATAAAATGTAAGAAACATCCTGGATCTGTTTCTTCACTTTAATGAAGTGTCAGATCTATCAGCAGATTCTCAAAATCAAATTATTTGGACTCGAGTGCAAAATAAAACTGAAAAGAAGAAAATGTTTTTTTTTTAATTTTCAAATGTAAACATTGCCAGGGAAACATTTTTCTCTCCTTCCTTTACTTTGACAACAGAACATGATTAGAAAACAGTTCAATAGTGTACAAAATCTACATACCATCATCTAAATATATCCATAATTAAGCTATAATCAGTAAAATTGTATGTATTTCATTACCATGTTCAGTAATAAGCTACTGGAAATGTTAATAACATTTAATTTCTACTGCTTCAAATGTAATTGTGACATATCTATTATGTATGGGTTAATAATAATCCAGTTTAAATTGTGTTTGTGAATAAAATGCTACAGTGGCTTGCCGTACCCCTTCAGCGGTGATGGGCAGAGCAGACTCGAAGCCGTAATCTGACTGCAGCGGCGCCGTTCTGCTTCTTAGCGCTGCAGACAGCTAATGAGCAGGATGATGATGGGGACTTTTCTTCCGCTTGTAGAGTTTAGATATTCTTAGTTTCACAACCATCATGTTTCTTTGGAGCCCACTCGATCGTGAGCCTGCTTCCCGCTAGCATTAGCTAATATGCTTGTAGTTACACTTTTGATGCCAAACTTTGGACCGTTGGTGCCTTTGCTGGCTTCTCTGTTTTCCTCCACAGCACCTAGATTAGCACAGTGCCAGTAAAAAGCATCTTCCTTACTATGGGTGTAACGGTAGACTAAACTCGTGTGCGGTTCGGTTCCGTGTTTTGAAGGTCTTGGTTCAATTCATTTTCGGTATATTATCACTAATTTATTTATTTAATATCTGAAGCGGCTCCTATAGTGAGCAGAACCAGGTGTCACCACCGGCTGCTGATCTAGCGTGATGTCTTTACTCCACAGGTTATTTGCGCCACAGACATATACACATAGATGCCCCGTGGACTGGCACTGTCTATTGGAGATGCCGTAATGGCCGACCACCATTTTAGATAGATTAGCCCCCGGTGCATTCATTTCCACTGAGGAAGGTGCTTACCCAACTAAAAAACACATTTTATCAAGCTTTTTCACAAAACCAAACACAAGGTACGGCATGATGATTAAAATATAAATATCATTAAATAAAAATAAGTATTAAATATAAAATCCTATCAGGTAGGCTAGAAAAGTCCATGTGATCTGTTTCAGTAGTACGCTGGTTGTTGTAACAGTACCGTAGGCTGCACAGATAGTTGCTCACTCTGCACTGACTTTGGAGAGGGAGGAGACCCATTCAACATGGCGGCGATGCTGTTACACTCTCCAGCACCCAATGGGGCGTCTACACATTCATGTCTATGATTTGTGCAGCGCGCTCTCTTACAGGCGAGTGTGGTGTTTGATGAGTTTTTATTTCTTAAAAACTCCCCTCACACCGCCCAATCGTTTCTTTAAAACTCGTGATAAATGACGAGCGTCCTCCACGCCGTAGTTTTCGTTGTAAGATGAACATTTTACATCAGTTGTCACAGCGGAAAAGTTCAGCAGACATGTTTGTTTACATTTTTGCCGCTGCGTGCCTGCACACTGTGAGAAGGGAGGGAGAGACGACACGATGCTTCGTTCAGTCTCTACAGACTCCACAGCAGCAGCGACAGCCAACTGGTTCGATCTGCTCTGAAAGACGTTGATCAGAATTTGCAGATCACATTTTTTAAACGGAGATCGGACGCGTGCAACAGTCACGCGTCACTCAACACCTCAATACAGCATCTGTGCGGAAACTCGCCGAGGAATTTTTACCAGCTGCACTTAAATCACACAAATATGTGAGAAATTCATTATTTAATGGAAAAAATAAACCGAAACGGTACACAAGTGGACCGAACCGAACTGCCTGAACTGAAATGGTTCAAGTAACGCCCGTGAACGTTACACCCCTATTCCTTACACAGTAATTACACGTGCAACATGTATGTGTCTCGGTCTGCTCTGCCTCGGTCTGCTCTGCTGCCGCACCAGATGAGCTGCGCGCATGGACTGTTACTTAAAAGTTGCACAACACAACGAATCAATGACCAAAAGCGTTGCCGACGCATTTCTTCTTCTAATTTTATCGATTCTATCGAGTCGTCGCTGCAGCCCCAGATAGACGTGTTCTCGGTGATGCTGATGCGGTTTGTGTGTTGTTTCGTGTCCACGTGCTGCTGAATCTTCTCTGGAAACACTCTTCAGCTGAAAGTAGCGTTAAACTTCTGTCCTCAGGTCTTATCCTCACAGCTCTCTATGGAGGCCATGTCGTTTGTCACGGAAGACCGGAAGAGCGCTCAGGAATCCACCTTCCCCAACACATACACCTTTGACCTCTTTGGTGGAGTGGATGTAAGTTTTCCTGATGGAGTGGTGTCAGGAGCAGCCAGGCTTTTCGACTGAGACGAATCACTGACTCTAAAATGGTGTTTTATTATTTTGAAGCTGCTGGTGGAAATCTTGATGAGGCCCACACTGACCATGCAGAAGAAGATGCCTAAAAGTGAGTGGGACCAACATCTGAAAGGTCTTTGCTTTGTGGAAAGTGAGAACGGCGTTCCGTGAAGATAAATGATGTGATTTTTACCATTCGTCTCTGCTTCTGTGACAACAGTGAACGATGACCTGGTCAAAGACTGCCTCAGTGTCCTGTACAACTGCTGTATATGTGTAGGTATCTCTGTTAGCCTGGTGCACCGGTCATACAGGCAGTTTAAGTAACAAGCAGTGTGTTGGTTCTGTCTGCAGACCGAGGGAGTTACCAAGAGCCTGGCAGCGAGGGACGACTTAGTCCTGTTCCTCTTCACCCTGATGACAAACAAGAAGACCTTTCTGCAGACCGCTACCCTAATAGAAGATATTCTGGGAGTGAAGAAGGTTGGTGTTGGAGTTTTCTGAAGGAGCTGGTTTCTGGAACAGTCTGAGGGTATTGGTGTTGTTATGGTGGTGGTGATCTTGTTCTGGTGACCTGGTTTAGTTAAACACCAGCTGGTGAGGTCTTCACACATCCATTCATGATTGTTTAAACGTCACACCCGTCTGTGCCTTTAAGGAAATGATCCAGTTGGAAGGAATCCCCAACCTGTCGGGCCTGGTCCAAAGCTTCGACCAGCAGCAGCTGGCCAACTTCTGTCGCATCCTGTCCGTCACCATCTCAGAACCCGACATAGGAAATGACGACAAGCACACGCTACTGGCCAAAAACGCACAGCATAAACGTAACTCTAGTCCGTCACGGGCTGAGGTCAACCAAGGTGGGTTTTATTGGTACTCCTGTAACTTATCATCCTCTCTGTCATTTGTGCTCCTTCTGAAAACACTTTTGCCAAACTTTCCTCCTGCAGTGACGATTCTGAGCATCCCCGGCTTCATCGAGCGGCTCTGTAAGCTGGCCACCAGAAAGGTTTCTGAAGCCACTGGAGCTAACTTCCTGCAGGAGCTGGAGGACTGGTACACCTGGCTAGACAATGCTCTAGTGCTCGATGCGCTCATGCAAATGGCCACCGAGGAGGCGGAGCAAAGTAGTACAGGTGAGACGGCAGCCGGCTGTGAGGCTGCTTCTCCTCGATAAGAACTTTGAATGGTTTATTATTTTCCGTTTAGAGTCGTCGGACGAGAGCTCTCTGGCCACCAGCCCCCTGAGACACAGACTACCACAGTCTATGAAGATTGTCCATGAGATTATGTATAAGGTGGAGGTGCTCTATGTGCTCTGCGTTCTCCTCATGGGTCGACAGAGGAATCAGGTAGGTTTCCTGTTGGGAGTCGGATACGTCGTGTCAGCTGAGCTGAACCGCGTTTCTCTGTAGGTCCATAAGATGCTGGCAGAGTTCCGTCTCATCCCAGGACTCAACAACCTGTTTGACAAGCTCATCTGGAGGAAATACGCGGCCTCCAACCACGTGGTGCACGGCCAGAATGAGAACTGCGACTGTAGTCCAGTAGGAACTTTGTAACAGCAGAAAAAAGATCATATTGTATTATCACTAATAAATGCTTTTGTCACGCAGGAAATATCCTTTAAAATCCAGTTCTTGCGACTCCTTCAGAGCTTTAGTGATCACCACGAGTAAGTATCCTCCAGATCACACGACTCCAGTCAGACTCCTGACCTCTAACTGGGTTTGTCTGCCAGGAACAAGTATCTCCTCCTCAACAACCAGGAGCTGAATGAACTGAGCGCCATCTCCATGAAGGCCAACATCCCAGAGGTGGAGGCTCTGGTCAACACAGACAGAAGTTTAGTCTGTGATGGAAAGAAGGGCCTCCTCACGCGCCTTCTCACCGTCATGAAGAGGGAGCCTCCCGACTCGTCCTTCAGGTTGGGATCAGCTGTTATTCGCTGTAACAAGGGTGAGAGTACTCTCGTCTCACTCTGCTGGCATGTCGTCTAATGTGTGGATAAAGGTTCTGGCAGGCACGAGCGGTGGAAAGCTTTCTCAGAGGAGCTACATCCTACGCAGATCAGATGTTCCTCCTGAAGAGGGGCCTGCTGGAGGTGGGGCTACGACAGAGGCCGTCCAGGATCTTTGGATTCGTTTTGGATCGTCACATTAACCTCCGTCTTCTGGTTTCCTGCTTCCACAGCACATCCTGTTTTGTATCATCGACAGCGGCTGCACATCTCGAGATGTCCTTCAAAGCTACTTCGATCTCCTCGGTGAACTCATGAAGTTCAACATTGATGCTTTTAAGAGGTTCAACAAATATGTCAACACTCCAGAAAAGGTATCATTTATGAGGGCTCAAAAACGAGCTTTTCAGAGTAAAAGTATAAATGTAAAACTAAACGCTTCTTCAAAATAACATCAAGACATTCATTAACATTCCTGCTGCAGTGAGGAGAAAGATGTCGGCCGAGTTATTTCTGCATCAGTTATTAGTACTTATTTTATTTATTATTGATGTAAAATTAATATCTGCCTAAAAAAACTCCAGACCTGTGCAGGAGCTTCGACGTTGGTTATGTCGGTGAAGACGTGCTTCTTCAGCACTAATCCAGTTACCGTCTACAGGTGGTTCAGAACGCCTGTGCTCGGCTTCTGACCAAGTCCTCCAAACACACCCACATCACCCCGCTTCTCCTCCAGCTTCGCTGGCTGCCAGTCAACTTCAGGGTTCATTTCAAGGTCCTGGTTCTGGTCTATAGGGCCTTACATGGACAAGCACCATCTTACATTGGTGATCTTCTTAGTCCCTACACCCCCAGCAGGTCCCTGAGGTCCAGTGATCAAAGCCTACTGGTTGTGCATCACCAGGCTAAAGACCAAAGGTGACGGATCATTTGCTGCTGTGGCCCCCAGACTCTGGACCTCTCTCCCCCTGAGCCTGAGATCAGTGGACTCAGTGGTCTCCTTTAAAAAGCAGCTGGAGACTCACCTGTTCATCGCTTTTATGTGACCTTCGTAACCTTCTCCTTGTTCTGCCTGTTCCACCTTTCCCAGGATCCATTGATTTCCCTCTTTCCCATTCATTTTCTCTCTCCCTTTCCTCACATTATTATTTTATCACAATTAAAAAACATTTTGGTAACGCTTCCTTTTCACAGTCCCTAATTACTAAGTACTTACATGGTAATTACATAGTAAGTAAAGTGTATTATTGTGTAATTAGTGTATAATAGTAATAAAGTGTAATGTGTAAAGCAGTATTTACTGCGAATGATTAATAAAACTAGAGTTGAATCTGAGTTACATGGTAATAACCGTTTAAGAACTCAGAAACAATAATACACTTTAACTTACTATGTAATTACCATGTAAGAACTTAGTAATTAGGGGACTGTAAAAGGAAGTGTTACCAAATTTTTTAGTCCCAATTTAAACATTTTTTAATAACATTTTTAATTCTTTTATATTTAACTTTGTTTTGTTTTGTTTATGTGAAGCTCCTCGTGGTTTTTATCTTGAGGCGCTACAGAAAAGAGTTTTCTTTCTTTTGTTTGCTCCAGTTGTTTGTTGTGTGAGATGACTCCCATCATAGCCGTTCCAACAGCAACGCCTCCTCTCCTCTAGTTTCAGGCCTTCCTGACGCAGATCAACAGCTCTTTGGTGGACTCCAACATGCTGGTCCGCTGCATCGTCCTGTCTTTGGACCGCTTTGAGAACCAGACCGAAGATGTCAAAGGTACCTGGAGTTCAGATGCACGTCACCCTGCTGTAGTCGGGAGATGGTACCTGACCTGTGTTTGGGTCAGCTTCTTCAGTCATGTTTGTGCTCTGCTTGTTTCTTCTCCACCCAGTGATGGAGGTGCTTTCTCAGTGCTGCTTGCTGTCTTATGTGGCCAGAGTTGAGAACAGGCTGTCCTTCCTCTTCAGACTCGTGAACATCATCAACGTGCAAACTCTCACTCAGGTTTCTGTTGTTTATTTGCACATGCTGGCATTAGAGCAGCACTAGTCAGGATTTCTGATGAAGCCTAAAGAGCTGCTTCATGCATCGTTTATTTGTTTACCTCCAGGAGAATGTCAGCTGCTTAAACACCAGTTTGGTGATCTTGATGCTGGCCAGGAGAAAGGCTAAACTACCCCCTTATCTAATCGCCCTGCGGGAGAAAGAGTATGCTGAGAAGTACCCCGGATGCCTGCTCAACAACTTTTACAACCTGCTGCGCTTCTGGCAGCGCCACTACCTCAACAAGGACAAAGACAGCACCTGTCTGGAGAACGTGAGTCTCTGCTTACCTCGTTACAAGCTTTCCCCCGCTGCTCCGTGCTGCAGCTAGAGGGAGTGTTCGGACGTTGGGAGAGACGGCGAAACGGCTGCAGGGTAGACCAGAGAGCTGTACAGTACAGAATTCCCTTTGGTGTAAATGTTCCCAGGTTTGGGAATGGGAGGACATGCTTCATGCCTAAAAAGGCACATTCTTAACTTTATAAAAACAAAGCCAGAAAGAATGAGCTTGCTTATCTAAAATGATCAGAATTAACCTTTTGGGCGCCGGAGTTTTCTCACCTGTCTCAGTTTTGACATAACTATTTAAGGTTGTAGCTTGGAAATGATTAGAGATAAAGGTAGACTGTAAAAGAGAAACATCTTCAGTAGGACCCAAAGTTTGTGTTGGGAGCTAATTCACTCATCTGATTAGCATATTATGACATCATCAGGCTGCCGTATTGGAATGCATCGTTTTTACAGATGTTCCTTATTTCATGTTATTTTGAATTTGTTCATTTTTGCCATTTTAATGAGATTGTTTAGCTTTTATTTTGTGTTTTTGGGTATTTATATTGGCCTCACTTGAGAGAAATGCTTTTTCCATATTCCTCAGGTTTCTTTGGGCTTGTACAGATTCAGGGACGTCCTTCCCTTGAACGTAATGATCGCTTGATCCAAGGGAAAGAATAGTTTTATGATTATGTGGCACACTTTGACTTCCATACATAACGATCTGCTGCTCTTACAGCTTTTTTTACATTGTCGCTACATCTGTCACATTAGCTGTGTTCAAACACAGTGAAACAAACAAATCCAGCGTTTGGAGCTTGTGGATGAGTGAATTTCTTCATCAGAGTCAATGTTGTGATACATAGTAAGAGTCAGTCATGACCAGACAAAGACCAGACCTGCTGGCAATTGTAAGTTGTATCTCTCTAATGGGGTTAGGGTTCGTGCTGCGCTCATCTCCTCTGCCTGACCAAGAACCTCTCGGCGGGAGGTGGTTTTCAAACTCTAAACTCCCAAACTTCCAGTATAAACACCCATTAAGTGTTGCTGAGCCTGAAGTTACACTTCTCCACTATCTTCTGGTGTGAAGTAGTAACTTTAGGGATCATATGTGTAGCTGTGGCTTGTTAAAGTCGCAATGACGCTTGTCGCGATATTGCGACTTTGGCTTTAACACTTGAAGCGGCAGACTTTCCCTGCATGACTGCAACGGCTGAAGCTCAGAGGTTTTTAAACGAACATCAGTGGAATGTGTTGGCTGACTCACCCATTCATTCATCTGAGTTAAGCTGATGAAACTGATTATCTTACATGTGAAACTATTCTCACGGTCCTCTCACCAGCAGACAGGAAGTTCTCTAACTTGCTGCCCTGATCTGGCCTAAATGGGGTTGCATGATCAGTTCTTGCTGCCCAACAGCACCACCTGCTGACCACACCAGGTGCCTTGAACACTGCTTTGGTCCGTTGTGTTTCATCCTGACAGATGTGGATGTTGGAGCAAGAGAGCACTTCTGAGCGAACAGATTCAGGCTTTGACCCAGCGTGTGTCTCTCTGAGATTCAGGTGTCCTCGTCCATATAGTTTGTGTTGTTGTTTTCTTCGTGGGTTCAGTAGGACCAGAGCAGAGGGCTGTCCACAGGTAGAGGTTCTCGGGGACAAACACCTGGTTTAACGGGATCATCTGTGGTGGTTCTTGCACCAGATTATCCTGGTCCTACTCTTACGTCCCTGTTCATTATTTTCCGAACCGTTTTAAGATGAAAGACCGACCCAGGTGAGTTTCAGAGGGGGCAGCCTGTGACCTGTGTGTGGTTTGTCCCTTCAGAGCTCCTGTATCCCGTTCAGCTACTGGAAGGAGACGGTGTCGGTGCTGCTGGCCTCAGACAGGACTTCTCAGAGTGCCATAGTGAGTTACATTGATGAGCCTTTTGTGGATCTGGACAGAGACCTGCTGGAAGATTGACCTCCAGGCCGGTGGGGATGCAGATGGTTGCAGGGAGAACGGACCCCTACAGCCGGTGCCGAGCCTTGGGTGGGTGTAGTTGGTGACTGCGTTTTGGGAATGTTCACACCATGAAAACCTCTTCCTGTTTTCATCGACGGAGGAACCACGGACACGTCTGAGACGGCACACGGACATCCGATAGAAGCTTTTATATAATCTATACAGAATTCTATAAAAATGTGTATGATGGAACAAATGTATGTAAGATGAAATGTTTTCACTTGAACTTAATGTGGAAACAAGCCCAGATATGCAGGATGGTGTGTGTCAGTCACCAGCCTCACTCTCGCACTACTCCCGTGATCTCCGACGTCACCCCTCGCCCGAGGGGCGGTTGTTGGTGGGTCAGCTTTATTAAGTGGCTACTGTTGATTGTTGCTTCCTGGTTCTGCTCGGCCCGTTTTGTTAGTGATCGGGTTGGCTCATGTCTCTTAAAGGGTTCCTCCAGGTGTGTTGTGGCTTCAGAAGCTTCAGCCAGGGACTGCTCTTCTCCAGCTGGTTTCTGTTGTTGAGAACAACGGTTTTTAGCTCTGGAGAAACTGTAGAATAAAAGGTTGCACAGAATAACTGTTTTTACTGTTTAATATATGTTAACTCATTTGTTCATTAAAAGGTTTTCATTCAGAAAGATTTCACGTGAGAGATGCTCTAGAGAGAAAATAAACAATGCAGGTGCTAGTATTGAACACCGTTGGATGTTCATTCTGCCTCAGCACAGAAGAGCCACCATCTACGTAGTTTTCATTGTGTCTTGAAGGAAAACAAATCAGTTGTATTAAAATGAAATGACCTCAGAGAGAGCTGTGGCTGGCACACGAGTGCTTTTAGTCACTAGTAGCCGGTTTGCCTTCTAACGTCTTTCCTCGGGTCTAAACTGAGAGGGAATTCATACAAATATTCCTGTTCAGTTTGTTTTCTAATTAAAAACCTGTAATTTCTGACTTGTGGAATCAGAATGAAACAGATCTTCGTTTATCCAGCAGGGACAAGCATTATCTCCTCTTCCTCGTCAGCCCTGGAGGATCTCAGGACCAGCTCCTAACCAGGAGGAGAAAGTTTAACGTGTGCAACACTGCCACCTTGTGGTCAGCATGTAACTAACCATTGAATTCTTCTGAGGCATCAAACACAGCATCACTGTATTTGTGTTGTGCAGCCACCAAACACCTAGCAGTGGACATCTGCAAGTCTGAAGCGGACTACGCTCCTCTCCACAGGCATGGGGCCTCCTTCAGATTCCTGGGAGTGATCATCTCCACTAATCCATCAGGATCTGGGAATACCTGCATGATGGTAGTCCAGGTCCAACATTTCCTACTTGTTAGGTAAAAAGGACTGTATGGCTCCACCACCGAGAGTGTTACTGCTCCTCGGTGTGGTACGCTGGAGATGGCAGCAGACCGCAGGATCCTGCAGTGGGTCATCAACACTGAAGATCAGCTCTGGAGATCACCTACTCCAGACTCATCGACTCCTCCCACCCAGCTCATCACCTGTCTGACCTGCAGGTCAGATCAGCATTGTTATGTCCTCCTGGATTAGCTGTGTTGACCCCAAAGGTAAGTACCGGTAGTCATAGATGAACATCTGCTGGTTATTCAAATCTGACCAGTAGACCTTTATAATCTTCAACAAGCAGGGCTCCAGTTTGGAAAAACATGGAATTGTTTTGTTTTACCCAGGATGAAGACATGTAGGAACAACTAACAGTATGGAAGGCATTCGATTTTTTAAATATTCGATTGATTTAAAGATGAAAATCAGAAATTATCAAACAAAACTGCTCAGTTCTTTTCTCATTTTTGTGGAAAGCCTAAATAATTCCCAGTGGCACCAACAAACATGGTGGGAATGCCGTGAGGCACTTTGAGAACCAAACTTATTTTAGTCCAAGTGGTGAATGTGAAGTTTCATCCATCCACAGGATTTCCATCCCTCCTGCTCCAGATGACGCAGAATAGCTGGAGTATGACCTGCAGGTTCGGGAGAACTTGATGCTACACCAGGAGTTCAAGGAGGGACTTGTGCTCTGACACTAGGTGGCAGCAGAGCACGGCCTGTAGAGAGACTGGAAGTACTGCTAAGAGAATAAGGAACCACCTGTCGTCAAGGTTTTTGACAGGTCTATTGTTCTTTGACCTTTATGCCCTTTCCCCAACCTACCTTTCATCAAACTTGACAGGTGTATTGTTAGTAGTCCCCTTTTGTGATGTGATCTTTAATGACCCTGTATGTCAAGAAATGAACTGATGACTGTTGTGTAATGATGCATGAAGTCCCCTTTTGTCATGATCTGCTTTGATCTGAACCACTTTAGTTAGGGTTGATAACTGGTTTTGTGTTAACCTCACAACCCCTCCCTTTCATACGTGAGAGCCCACATCCCTCCCGCCAGCCCTGCTTGCCTTTTTAAAAGCTCGGATCCATTTCAGCAGACAGACTGAGATCGTATCAGAATGGTGAAAGGCCGAGGAAATACCTCTAAGAAAATGGTCAAGCAAGTGTCTACAGCCGATGCTGCAACTTCCACCCAAGAGGTGAAAGACGTGAAAGAGGAGAGCGTGGACACGCCATCGCTGCTATCACAGACCTTGCTCTGTGAAAAATCCATAGCGATCCATCAGCTGCCTGCAGGGGGTGGTGCTCCCCGCAAATCTACATTTTACATGTGTAGAGTACAGCTTCCTCCTTTTGTCGGTAAAGAGTTCTTGGAGCAAATATGGCCGCTGGAACCTTACGGCTATACCGGTAGTTTTGGGTACCGGTTCAGCTATGACTAAGGAGATGTGGCTGAGGACGAACCTCTGAAACCATATTTATCACATTCAGCAGATCTCTCCTACAATGACTGGGCAGTGCTCAACCTCGCAGTTCCACGCAGGGTGTACAAAGATGATCGTGAGAGACCTCGCCCGGCTGTAAAACGCAACAGGCCTCAAGCTCTTCCATCGCTGGATGAAATCCAGAACGGCGTGATAGCTTTCAGCGCTTCATGGGAGGGGCTGGAGGATGCGGACGGGCAGTGGATGTTCAAGGCCTCGGTCCGTGAGAGAGGATTGGAGCTCTTTTTTGTGCTGGAAAATGTGCGTGCTGAATGCGGTATTTACCGCCTTTTACAGGTTGTACCTTTAGAGGCCTGGTGTAAGAAAATAGATGAAGTGGCGGATCGTATCACTTCACTTCTTCGTACCAGCCGCTGCTGGAAAGACATTCTGACAGTGCGAAAAAAAGCTGAAATTCTAAGCCCCGCATCAGGAGGAGAAGGAGCGGCGGTCGCATCACCCCCCAATCACTAGTTATAAAGAGCTCTCAGTTACAAACCACTTCATCCCAGATGATCTAGCACATCAGCACGATGGGTTTCTACACTCAGTCAACCCTTGATGAACCATGGACCTTTTCCCCGCAACCGAGCTGGGTGTTAGTGGCTTCATCACCACCGAGATACAACGGCAGTCCGTGGCCCACGTCGGCGCCACCCCATCATGCTTTCCAGAGGATAACTTCCCACGACTCCCCACAATCATGGAGGTTCCTGCTAATGTACCATTCCGACCCTGGATCAACGAGACTCCGGCGAGTCCTGATACTGCACAACCTTCAGTGACATCAATCACTGACCCGCCACCGGTTTCACCTCAACCTGCTCGGGAGGAGGACGGTGTGCAACAGCAGCAGACCCTCGACATCCAGAGCACCGGTGAGGAGCCTCAGCGTCTGCCTGACTGGGTGTTTTCAGAAGACAAGGTGGACCGAGTGAAGATGGGGCTTCTTCACTTGGTCAACATGGCGATCAAAGCTTACTTACCTATAATCTGCCACGGATGCAAGATCGATCACCCCAGTCAGCGACAACACAAATGTCTTTACGTAGCTGAAAATGAATTATTTTACAATTTTCACTTTACGGACATTATTCGCTGGATTTTAACACCTAACCTGATCCCGGCTCATCAAAGTTTTCTCAGTCTGCACGGCTTCCAGCCGCTGGACGCTGAGATCCTGTTCACCATGGTTGTGATGCAGCTGCACGGATTCAGGGCTGTGATGCCCATTCACAAAGAAATTTTTCCTGTGTACGGTTGCCTGACCAAAGCTGACCTGGATGCACTGGCTGCGTTATTGTAACAGAATGAAATGACTGTTTTCCACCTAAAAGTCATTTCCCCCCTCTCCTCAGCAAGAACTAATCTGCATGAGATATCGTTCAAGGTCTCATGCATCTGCTTCTAAACTGTTTTCCTTTCCAGCCCAAGAGAAGAATGAAGACAAAGGACTCTTTCTTTTTAATAAAACAAAGAACTCTATTTTTAATAAGCTAATCAAACAAAGTGTTAGTCAATAATAAAATGTGAACCAATTTGTGAAATGAAAATATTAATTACTTTATTATAATCCTATAGAATATAATAAGTAATATAACTTTAAATGTTTCCACTAGAGACTGACCACACGTAAGGTTAAAGGTTGGTTTATGCTTGACACGTCCGCGAGGTTTGCACGGCTCCGCACAGCAAAATTGCGTCATTTTAACAACCGCGCCTCCGCATGGCCCAAACTTTCCACACCGCGCACCTAGAAAATTTTCTAACCACGCGGATGGTCGGACGTGGAAAAACATGGCGGACCGGCAAGAACTAGTATGGCAGAGGTTCGTAAATACAGACATTTGTATGATTCAGCTCTCAAAGATCACCGTGATCAACATGTTGTTAATAATTCTTGGAGAGAAATAGCTCGCACTGTCGGAAAAGACGAGGACGCTGTTAAAAAATGCTGGAATGCCATATTGTAAACAACAGTAATTTCTGCTTCTACTATGGTATAGTGTTGGATGCATGCCGTATAGCTCCATGCTGCCCCCTACAGTTTGGGAGAATATTGGCTCACTGCAGAGACGAGCCGCATGAACCATAAACGCTGCAAGTTGTGAAGCGCGTTCCATCCGCGAGCCGCGTCACCAAGCGGAAAGTAAATGCGTCAAGCATAAACCAAGCTTTAGCCACATCACACATTGCTTTTACTGATCCAGTCAGAATCTGCCAGATCTGACGGAGGCATGGTTTTGGTGGTGCTTGGTAAAGCTGTCATCTTTTCATTCGACCGTAAACCAAAACATCCAAAGTATAAAACTATGCCCACGTCATCTTTAACCCCAGTTCAAAGCGTTCTAGAGAAGTTGTCGGAGTGGCCAATCCGTAACTTTCCTCTTCAGCCGAAAGAACCAACGACAAGCTGGATAAAATCTGTTGCTCTTCCAACTGCTGCAATGGTTCCTTTCAGAATAAAAGCTGAACCATCACCACCCCGTTTTGGGTCTTGCTAGATGCCAACAAAGCTGTCGTGACCCGGAAGTATCTCAAAGACTGGACTGGTCGGCGGCCGCGGCTGTTCTACAGGCTTCGGCTCTAGAAAGGTCCAAGCTGGACCTCTTCACCTCCTGATCTAGACGGGGACTTCTGCCAAGGGTACGTAGACCGACAGAATGGCGTCTTATGTGTTTATGAATCTCCAAATCAAAGCTTAGACATCACCTTCACTCCCATCAGAACTAATCGTTTCTCCGGATTTGCTGGTTCTGAACAACATTCCACACTACACCATTCTCCGTCTCACTTCACCTTAGTTACACCATACATTTAGTGTTTAAAGTTAGTCTAGTTTTAATTTGTTTTGTAATACATCTTTAAACTTTTAAAACTTGACTCTCTTTTGTCTCTCAGCAAATACGAAGTTGTTACATAATCCCTGCAATAAAAAGTTCCAATCTTCTGGTTAAAAGTGCCCAAAGATCCATAAGATTGATTTCATATTTGCTATGGAATCTCACATTTTATGGTTCATTAAATAAATGTAAAATTAACCCTTTACATTATATTTGACTAGATTGTACGGTATATCTGACGGCTGTTTTTTATAGTGTGATTATATTTTATATTTG